ACCAAACAGATGCTTGTTTGAAGCATGGCCCTCTTGTTGAGTTTACACATTAAACTGCACATGTTGTATTGTCTTGCCTGGAGTATTTTCTGTCCTTTTGAGCTTAAGTGAACAGGCTGCTTTGAAGTGGCGGCCTCTTCCCAGATCCTCTCTGCACCCAGCGATGAGCCAGAAGGACTTTTGTTTCCTCAGTGACAACTAAGGCAGGTATTGCCTTCTAGTCTACTAACCGCAGGGCTGCTTTGTTTCTCACTCAGCCAGCCATGAACACTGTGCATGGTCGACCTCCATTATCTCCCGAGCCACTGAACTCCTCTTGCCATAACATTTTGATGAAGGTGCTCTCAGGAAAAATACATTTCTACATTTAGACATCCAACTGTTTGTAAAATCCAGATCCAGATGTTTGTTTAAAAAAAAAAAAAAAAGGAAAGAAAATAAACAAACATATCAGCTTGATAAATAACTGTGAGCATAATTTGCTCATCCTGTCTTGTTGCTTTCATTCTTCTTTAGCAGTTTTAAAATAGCCAGTTTAGCATTTAAGAACAAAAAAATCGTCTTATATAGCACCACAGTAATTATTCATGTGAACCCACAATTGAAAGACAGATGGTTTGACTGCAAATAATGAACAGACATGCTCAGTCGCAACTCATTATTGATACCTCAAAGGCAGCAGAAGCGTAGTAGTAGATCTGAAACAGTATGAGCAGTCTGTGACATGCTAGTTAAACGATGTCATGAGCGTTCAGCAGCCATCAGTCAACTGCCTCCAGGAACTACAGCGAGCAGACTGAAACACTGCATTTTAGCAAATTTTGAAAAATGTATACAATATGAAATATAGCTAAAACTGGTCACTAATTTGAATTCTGAAAGAAAAATCAACAACACATGCCAGCTATAATGAAAACACTGCAAAAAAAGGAAGCAGCCAAACGCATAAATGCCCTTCGAGATCACTACACATCAGCGATGGTAACCGTGGTGCCAATTTCAAACAGCTGTAATTGCTATTTATGTAACGTGTGTGTTTGGGTGTGTTTTCTGAAGTTGCGAGCGTGCTGTGCGACAGTCAAATTTAAGCCTAACACTCCTCGTCCTCACAGTCCTCATCAACGGGATACAGCGAAGACGATGCACTTGAGACAAAAAATATTACAAATACGAAGCATCATATTCCGCGCAGTAGCTTGCATCTATGTTTTATACACAACCGCAGTGGCAGAGTAGATAGAGGATGTCAGGGAGAAGAGTCGTGCTCCTCCTGTGCCATGATCAGAGTAAATTGCCCTGACGTGCCAGTCCTACACTGTCCTGAAGTCAAGGAATAAGGCCTCAGAATTCTTTGTTCCAGACGTGAAGGTTTCGCACTTACAGACAAATATAGCTGAATGAGGTGGGGATAAGAGCCAAGAATGAAATGATTGAAATTTTTAATCTAGGGCTGAACAGCAGTGTGAGCAGAGATGAGATGCAAACCAAGCGTCCCTTTGGGGAGAAGGATATAGATTGTAGGATCCCGCTGCTGGTCCACAGAGACACAGGCAATCACTCAGCTGTTTGATATCCTCTTGTAGGTTGTGCCTGATGCTACTGTATGCTTTTTACTCATCCTCAAGAATATGTAATGACTATGATCAATGTTTTTTTTTTATCTGTGACACCTTTTAAGGAGCACACCCTTATTTTCTGTTGTGGCAACCCCCCGAGAGTCTTTGTGTTGCGTTCCCAGCCCTGCAGCACGGTACAAGAGATTGCATGTGTTTCAGGTTATGGATCCCAGTGGCATAATGAAATACATTGCTTACTGAATGCAAGAGGAGCTGCCCCTGTATTTATATGTATGTATGTGTGTTTTTCTGTGTGTGTGCATAGATACTAATGATATTTTATATGTGCTTCACGTTTAACTACATCTAAATTCATGCTTGCTAGCGGTTTTCCAAACGTAAAAACACTTTTTGGTAATAACATGCAGGATTTTTTATACAGATGTGTGGCTGCACACATTTTCATCGGGTGGAACTGGGCACAGATGGCTCTGATGTAATCTCTTCAATCTGCTATTAATCACAGTCTACAGAAAGGAGGGGAAAAGACTGCAGTAAAGGTCATGAAGAGGTGGATTTTGTATTTCTTACGTAGGATGGCATCTCATGATAACTGTAAGCAAGCTAGGAGATTATCAAAGCCTGCAAGTGCAAGTGGGCCCAGTAATTTCTCTATACTGTTGATTTTTAACCTTTATGTTCTCTTACCAAGTGGACCCTTAGCAATTTATAGTAGTGCCAGACCCAACAAGGACTATCTTCCTTCCAGTTATTACACATACAATCTCAATCTCAGCAGGTGTGTCCAGGGATTAAACAGAGCTGGAGGCCGCTGGATCATAGCTCCGGTAGACACGGTTCAGGTGCAGCTTAGTCCCAAACACGTCTGTCTCCAGCCACAGGCGCCTGCCGCATCGAGCAAACAGGGTCTTTTACTTTCACTCTTACAGTTTGGGTCGATCGGTAGTGTTCAGACATGCACAAGAAAGCTGAGTTTTTCAAAGAAAATCTGAAAAGTTGCTGTTGACATGCACTGTGATAACCCGGTTACTCTAAAATCCATCGCGCAGCTGGTGATGATGTTTTCCAGTCTTTTTCCATTCAGGCTCTTTCATGTGAACAAACCTTTTCCCAAATTCCTCAATTTTGGTTGAACAAAGGGTCAACCCACCGGCATAGTTTTAATCAGAGCACGTGGAATAAATTGATTCTTTTAACATCTGATATTAAAATTAATTTTAAAGGAAATTAAATGACACGAGTCACACGCATGATGGAGCAAATCTGAACCCAAATGAAGCCAACAAGAAACCTGAATAATATCTCACTTGAATTTAATCATCTCACAGATTGTGTTGTTTTTTTCCCCACTAGTTATTTTTTATAAATCAAACAAATGCATTTTTATAAATTTAGCATCTGTGCTTTAAATTACCAGAGCGCCGCTATTGCACAGACAGATTTAAAATGTTCATTTTAATATTTCATTTGACGTAGCTGCCAGAATACAGACGGCAGCCGCAGCTCAGACGACGAGGACAGAGGCCACAAAAGAAGAAGAAGAAAGAGCCTAATAAGAAAAATAATGGTGATAACAGACCAGTGATAAAAAGTAGAAAAGGATGCTGAATGGCGGCTGTATCTTCCCAAAACTAATCACATTTAGGAGCTCAGATTTGCTGGAAATTAACATCAAAATTGCGTTTGAACGACAGACATCCTGACTGAATTTGAATTCTGCCACCCACCTTTTCTTTTAAATAAATTAGGCACCTATGCTTCCTGCACTTTATTTATTCATACATGTTTTTTTCTTTCTGACCTTGTGTGGCTTGAGGAGCACACCTGATCTGTGTTAGCTGCTACAGAATCACCCACCGGTCATTTTAGCCTGTCACTGATTGTGTGTGTTTTTTTATTTTTATTTTTTATGTTTTATTTTGTGTGATCCAGATATTTTAAGCTCAAAGGGACATCGGGCACGACACCTTAGTGGTCCCCTCCTTGTCAGATCTGCTGCAAAAACACACACTCAGCAGAACTTTCAGCCATGAGTGACTTTACCTTGATCTACTAGTTTGATTAAATGATATGCTGGTGATTGAGATGTGAGTGCATTGTGCTCACTCACCAGCTGCCACGGTCAGAGTCATTACAGCTGACAGACTGGACTGAAACTAAATAGTCAGGAGTCCTTGAGGTGAACTGAAGCCTATTACCAAGCTATAACAACAACAGACTGCTTTAAAACAAGGATTAATGCTGCATATTGAAACGTTACGGCATACATCGTAAATGAATAGCTGAGTACAGTGTACTGATGTATAGTTTTGATAAACCATAGATGTAATATGCAGGCTTAGAGCTGCAGCAGAGATGCTCGTTCAGGTGTATCATCTAATGTCCACGACACAAATCCCACTTTAACCAAAGGATGGTTCATTTGTATTCTTACAAATGAACTATTCCATCACCTTCGTCTGAGTTCAGAATATTGAGGATCTTTTATTGTTGCTCCAGAAGAGAAGAGGAGATAATAGTTTGGGTTTTACTTAGATTCAGAGAGTGTCGACTGAAGTTCTCAGTTCCTTTACTTGAGAAAAAAAATACAATTAGAAATACTCCATTACAAGTAAAATGTACTTGAAGTACTTTTTGTATATATGACATTATTAGATTGTTAATACTGACTGATCAGTGTGTAAAGAGTAGTTTATTGTTGTAGCTGCTCGAGATATATACAGTTAGATAGTTTATATAGATCAGTGGTTCCCAACTTGTGGGGTGGGGCTCACTGGTGGGCCGTGAAGGTATCGCATGTGGCAGAACCTTCATTTGCAGTACAGTACAATTCTGGTGACAAGATTTAGAAAATAATACGTTTTTAAAAATATTTTAAAACAAGATGATTCTTGTTTTTTTTTGTTTTTTTTTTTGTATTAAGACTTATCGCTGTTTTGCCATCGGACCATACTGTATACTTGTTTGCGTTCTCAGTCTGATTGCAAACTGAAAAATTAAATCCATGGCAAAACCTGGAGCATCAAAACGGATTGGCAGAACAACTAACAACCAGTAGACAAATGACCCTGTAGACCCAGTAGATCCAACCAGACCCTGTTTACTTTTAAAAGATCATCAGCCACTTTATTTGTTAACAATGTATGGTGTTTTATAAACTACAATCATTCAATCATATGCTTTATGAATTATGAACAATCTTAATCTGAAAATTAACTATTAGCTACACTTCTCAAATAAATGTGGTGGAGTAGAATAAAGTGTAGTAAAATGAAGTACAAGAGTTTGTGTTTAAATACAGTAGGTTACTTACTGTAGTTACTTTCCACCACTGGTATTTCTCATTTGATACTTAAACATGACAAGAGGATACATGAAAATACTCACAGACTCGACCCTCTGTCTTCTTCACTTTGTTCACAGCTACACCCTCCGTGTGGTCGGCAATGGGATCAAAGCTCAAAGCGCCAACCCTGAAGTCAAAGTGAAGGAAGCAGACCCTGTGATTAATCAAATCATTGACAAACTGAAGCACATCAATCAGGTGAGACTCTCTCATTCTCTGTACATATTTGCTGTATGTACATTATCTAATTTCCTCTTTTATTGAAGCTCTCACTTTGTTTTAATTCCATATTTCCATCCCTCATTCTGTCAGACACATGGGAAGCGTCTCCTAAGGCAATCTGCTAATTCTCTTTGTCAGTCTATGCAACATAAAGTAGCTCCTGTCAGCTTTTGGCTTGTTCTTTAAGGAGCACTGACTGCTGCCTTGTAAAGAAATGACTGCTCACAAAGCTGAAGCTCTTCACACTTTTCCTCTGAATAATCCTTGACAAAATAATTCATTTATATCCTCTATTACCAGTAAGTACCGGCTAATAGAAAACTAGTCTCAAATGCAAAATCATCTCCAGGCAATGAAAAACAAAATCAATCATTACACATTTAGAAACCCATTTGATCTGGTTTGTGTGTCTTCATATTTACAAAATCCTTTTTCTGCTCTTTGTCAAAATCAATGTAGCTGTTCTATCAGTCAGTCTGCTTTGATGCACATTTGTGCTGCTGTGGCTCCTTTCAGAGCTGTTTATCTCTCACGATGATGAGATTAGGGCAGTTTAGGGGAGCGCCTTTTCTGCTGCAGCTTCAATAACAGCTGCTGTAGCCACCTCTGTTGTTTCACTGCAGCGGCAGCAACAGCAGCTTCGCGCATCTGTTGCTTGGGTTCCCCAAGTGGCAGGCTGAAGGCCAGGTCATCTCTCTTGACCTCGCGCTGACACCCCCTCCCTGACTAATTCACACCATCTGTGGGATGTCAGACCACATAAATCTATATATCATAACCATTTGAGAGCTCCTGAGCTACCTTGTTGACATTCACCGTGTCTGCTTTCACCGTTTGCATCTTAAACGTGCTTCTTTGAACGTCCTTGTGGTTCTGTGGATTTTTACCTACAGGAGAAACGCAGGTTTATGAGCTTGGATACTGAAATTGTTTCTCTGTTGCACATGATTTACTGTAACTCCTAAGAAACAGATCATCGGCTCAGCCCAGATTATGTAATCATAATCTGGGCTGAGTGTAACTTCAAGCCCTCTGTTTTTTTTCCACCCAATATCTGTCGCACATACTCTTCTCTCTTTGTCCACACTGTCTGTTCATTGTCTTTTCTGCTGACAGTTCATTCTAATAAAAACATTTTAATGAGTGTCATTATCTTACAACCTGTTCCTCTTGTTCTTATATACCCAGTCTTTGGTTTATAACCGATCAATAGTCAGTGATTCACTCACTGATCCCTAGTAGAATCATATACGTCACCGTCAGTTATGGATTTTGAGATGTGACTTCAATACTAACATCTGCTTCAGTACATATAGATGAACATCTGTGTCTAATGACAGCACAATTGTACACGTACGTTGCAGAAAGTAGTTCCATATATCCATATTTTTTGGCCACTTGTGGGCAGTTGAAAACAAGCTGTAAACACAACATTCACATATCATCACCTTTTAAGTTGATATGGCAAACTTGTTAGCACAGTGGATACAGAGCGACAACAGGATTCTCTTGTGTTAGGCTGTGCTTGTTTCCACCTGATGAATTTAACACCAGCATTCATCTCTTATTAACTCTGTGTTTGGTCTCCACCAACTCCTTAGGGAAATATCTGGCTCTTTCATCTGCACCGTGTTCACCAGCTAGTCATTAACTTTGTCTGTCTGCCATTTGGTGCTGGACAGGTATTGCACAGTGGATTTTCAGTGTTTTTTTTTTTTTTTTTTTCACTTAATACATCTGCCTGCTTCGTCTGGAGTTGGATAAAAGCGGCGAGTGAACCAAACATTAAAGTTGTAGCCAGAAAACAAAAAAAAAAAAAATGAGATGAAAGGCTCCAAAATGCTCCACAGAGCTGAGAGACCTTCAGAGTCATGAGATAATTCAGCTAGAGCAAGCACCTTCACAGTGCACAACTGACCCACTGTTCATGTGAAAATACTGATTCTAACCACTTTAAAGGTACAACACAAACATTACTGATGTTCAAAAACAAAAACAAAACTGCTCCTGTCCCTCCCAGTTTGACTGACAGACTTATATTAGATGACAGGTAAATTTAATATTCTTAATGCTTTCTGACATCGTTTAAGGTTTGTTTATCGCTAATAATTGTACACACAAGAGCTGTTAAACCTCACTGTCAGTTATGATCAGTTGAGAACTATTACTGGTTTTTGTTTCTTTCTGGTTTGACGTCTTCATTTCTTTCTTGTTTTTCTTGTCTTCTTTTTTTTTCTTTTTTTCCCCTCCATTTATTTATTTATTTATTAAATATTTCCCCTACATTTGCTTTGCTTAGAGGTGAATCTCTGGTGCGTAGAGAAGCTTACTGAGGTCAGTCTGACTTGTAGCAAAGACTCAAAAAAAAAAAAAGCTCACAGTATGAGATTTGTTTTTCAGATGCATAACTTGTAGTTTATTCTGTATTTTTGCTTCAGCTTTGGAATAATATTCTGTTTTCAACACCTGCACAGTTAGTCTTTGTAATGTCTTGAATTTTTGAAGAAGTCACTGGAACAATTCAAATGCGTTGACAGAGCAGCTGCACACTTTCTGTTTAAAAAAAGTTCTGACTGTGGTTTCTTCCAGGAACACTTCTTCTGAGTTTACCTGGAAATAAAATAGAGGTAGTTTATTAATACATGAATAAAAAGGAATGTTGGATATGAATAGAATTAAATCAAACATCCAACAGTGACTCCCTGGCTGTCAACTGCCCTTAAAAATCATCCGACTGTGAAATCCCTGAAATTTAAATGCATTTAAAGAATTTATTCAGCAAAGGCAGCATGAAATGAAAAGACAACAGAGTTTCAACCAAAGCTAATTAACATGTGCTTTTTGTTCCTGTTATGTTGGTTGCTCTTGGTCGTGATCCCACCTTTCAGCAAGTATGACTGAAAACAAACTAATGGCTATTATAAAATGACATTGTCAGATTGCCATATGCAAAGACATACAGAGATAGTGATCAACACAATAGGCTGTTAAAATAATTGCTTGTTAAAAATTCACTGTATTTTCAGCCACTCTAGCGCTGTAGCTCATAACAGTGTCAGTCATTCAGTCGGTTGATTTGTTGGTTTGGTCGTTTAGCCATTTTGGCCCAAACAGAATCATCTCAACAGTTTTTGTAAAGATTGCCATGAAATTTTATACAGACACCAGCGCCTCTGACCATGAATCCTAATGTCAAAGTTTTCACCTATCCACTTAAAAACTAAACAAAACAAGAAACTAAATATTGACTCACAGTTCCCAAATGGTTTATCTTGTACCCTGACTTTTCCTCCAGCACCACAGTGAGGTTTACAATAAGTTATGAAGCACAAATTTCAGCATGAGAATGATAAGAACATTAGCATCATAAATTGTCAAATTAGCTGTTAAAAAAACACACACAAAAAAAGATATTTCTGTCCTGTATGATGTTCCTTGGAGCTTGAGAACACAAATGATGGTCCCTATCAGCAAAGGTGTTACACGTATATCAACCACGTTTAGAAATAAAAAAAAAAAAAAAAAACACTCCCCACCTTAATAATACCAAGCTAAAGTGCTAATTAGTCCCACAGAATATAAATAGTATCCAGATAAAATCTCTGGGGAAATGACAGCATTTCTGCTAATTAAACAGAGTAAAATGTAACACAGGAGTCAGTTGTTATGTATGTGAATGATAATGTGATTTTAGCTTTGAAACAAATAATCTTTTTGTTGCACTTTGTGAGGTGTGAAGATATGAGTAATTATCATGAACAACAAGAATCTTCATATAATGAAATTGCTTTAAGTCTTAATATTATTTCCCACATATTGAATGTGTGAAGGACAAACAATGAATGCAGTAAGGACACTATCTGAAAAAGAAATGAGTTTTAATACTTTTCATGTTTCATGTCATTTATATGTTTGAATCAATAAAGCTGCACCTTATACAATCATAATGGATGTACGCTTTAAAGAAAAAAACATCATTGGCCCTTCTGCTCAAGTTCTGTTTGCCAGATCCTCATGGTCTGTGCCAGCACTGCCTCCAGCACATGCACACGAAATAAATATAAAGATACTGTACCTGTGTAGTAGCGTAATTAGTGAACCTTGTCTGTGTTGTTTGTAGTCATTACCATTAACCATTCAGATCTTGTGTTGCTGTAAGCTTTTCCAGGACTTTGTTTGGGTTTTATGGGAATTCAAGATGCAAATAACCCAATAATTAATTGTAGCAGTAGCTTGAGTACACTCAAGCCAAATTACACTCCATCAATAGGTCAAACTGATTTCAAAGCGAAGTGCTTTGTTGTTGTACTTGTAAGCCTCATATCATTTACACAACGCAGTGATCTGCAAAATCATTCATCACAGTGAATGTTTTATCCCAGTCACTGCGGTGAATTAGAAACAGACAGTATTCCAGTATTATCGCATGTGTCCTAATAAAGTAAGACGTCTCCGTGCTTTACAAATAAGATTGTGGTTTCTATCTGTAAACATTGGTATTTAGCACAAATGCTAAAGTCCTTTTTCAGTAGCAAAGTCAGAATTTGTGTGATGTTGGTATAGTCTTACCCCAAATTCACGCACAATGCAAGATGGTAGCAGCACGTAAGCGATACTCATTCAGTCCACACGGACTCTGACCGGTGTTTGATGGTTGCTCTCCTTCAAAGTCGGCTGCTCGTCACTGATGTTACATTACATTCATGTGGCAGGCGCTTTTGTCCAAGGCGATCTATCTACGATAGATGCATTCAAAACACGTAGAAACAAGAGCTAGATATCAGTTTGCAGGGTATCCCTTTGACACAAACAAACTAGAAGAATGTTCAGTGCTACAGTACAAGTGCGTACAGAGGTTTTAAGAGTAAGTACTAGCAGGTAAATGTATGCACTAGTAGGTGGGTTTGTAGCCTGCGGCAGTGACTCTGCTTTCCTGACTTCAGTGGGGAGCTCATTCCACCACTGTGGAGCCAGAA